CATTACAAGCACGAAGCACCGACAGCGAGAGACTGTTTAGTGCTGCATCAAGTCTCCGATGAGAAGAGGTGGCTAATGCTGGTGATTAGGCTACTGTATGATGATTGAAATCGCCAAATGGCCTCAAACGACTAGTAAATAAACTGCAGATTGTTATATTTTCTAATGCACGCACGAATTGCATGTATTCTGACAGTGCTGCACGAGCTCGCGGCACCAGGGTTCGAAGTCCAAAGCGCGAGGAAAATCTGCGCTGAAACTGTTACTCGTCAGTTGCTCAGTAACATTTTTGTGAATTTTTGTTACAAGGCATGTGACAATGTGATACGTGCGACAAACATCTTCCCAAATTCGTAATGAGAATCATTTATAAATCTGCAGGCTGTTGTCAACAAAAAGAAGCACTGAGATCTTCCTGCGGGTTTCTGCCAAAATAAAAGCAGAGAAAAAGCAACAAATCCATCGACATTAATAAATGGTAGTATTGTAATTTTACTGTCGTTATGTAAAATAAAATAAAAAAGTAAGACAATAATAATGATAATAATAATTACCCTACAACAGCTCTGTTAATACATTTATTATAACATTCACACACAGTGTTCAAATTGGGATCTGTAATATATTCTAATGTTTTAAAAGAAGTCTTTATTTGTACAGTAAAAAATACACGCCTGATTCAAGTCTCAAAAATGGCCAAAAAATATTATTTTACTAACTTATTCATTTTAAGCTAAATTGTGCTTTGTTGGTATAATGTCTGCTAGAATGTTTTTATTTAGTAAATATAATATTTAAAAAGTAAATATTTTTTAATTGTTGTTTTGTAATTGATTTTTTTATTTGAAAAGCAGGACAAAACAGTAAAAAGCACATTTTGGCAATTTAAAAAAATGGCAAAATAGGCCTACATGGGGGGAAAATGTGAAAAACCGTGTTCGGTATTCGGCCTTTGGCCCAGTGTTTCATTTTGTTTGGCTTCGGCCTAGAATTTTCATTTCGGTGCATCCCTAGTGTTTATACTTGTGTACGCTTTTCAGGGAAATTAACCTACTTAAATAGCTTGCTTCTAGCTGTCTCTACACATAGCACAACTAGGATATGAGAAAGTATTTTAAACATTGTTAATACTGAGGAGCTTCTTATTCAGAGGAAGAGATGGCAAAATTCAGTCCATCCCATCCCATCCTCCTGTGAAGAGTGCCTGCATAACGCAGGGCACTTTCATCATTAGCTGCGCGTAACAGTGAATTTCACACAGCAAAGAAGGCACTGTATTCATGTTTGTGTGCATGTGTGATGCCTAACCTGTTTGCAGTCGATTGCCAGTAGGTTCAGACTGCTGGTCGACACGGTGAGGCTGATTGTCATTCCTGCAAACTGGAGATTACTCTTCCCTAAGATAGAGGAGAGACAACGAGAGGAGGGCTGCAAAGAGACAGAAACACAGAGACTCCATTAATTACACCACACACCAGATCAAAAAAAAGAAAAAGCTAAATATTTTATGATAAAAAGATGAAACCTAAATATTTTATGAAAAGAGGTTTTAATGGAAAATAGAGAACATTTTGAATAGTTTGGTCTGTCTAAGGCCTGATTTACCTCACATGCATAAGTCTCACATTTTTCAGCACCTATATCAACAAGCCAGGCTCAATGAATCAGAATCGTACACTACCATCTAAACGGTTTTTTTTTTTTAAGAAATTAATACTTTCATTCAGCAAGGTTCATTAAATTGATCAACACTGTAAATAAGGGTGTTTTTTTGTTTTGTTTGAGCCCTCAAAACGCTCTCGGAGCGGTTCAGCTCGTATATGTGAACAAACCAAGTGATCTCAGACCCCCCTAAAATGACCCAAAAGCGAAATGTACTCTGACCACCTCGGGAGGTAGATTTGAATTAATTATTGAGAGAGAGAGAGAGAGAGAGGGATGAAAGTTGCGTGTGTGAATCTAGTCTAGTAATATCTGTGCGTCTCATTCTGCAAATGAGTTTTGTTACTTCAAAAACATCAATTGTACCCAATAGTTAATAAAATAAATAGTTTTGCACGGCAGCATTGACAACAAGTTTCTGTGCTCCTGAATATTTCTGTGTGCGCCGCGCGATCTCCGATATGTGTGTGCGAGTGATGTGTGTGTGTGTGTGCGTGTGTATCAATTGAAAGCAGCGAAACAATATAGTAGCAATTAACTTTATTCATAATGTTCCCTTTTAATTTTAAATTCATTTAAAAATGCGTTGCTACAGCTCTGCAAATGTGACATGATCAGGGATTGCCAGCTCTTCCCTGTTCACTTCATCTTCCAGATTTTCCACTGCTCCACAGAAAACTGGGGTCTGTCTGAGTTCTTATGAAGTTGTGGTGTGAACAAGAAAAGGTCTGAGATCACTTCCAGTGCTGAAGAGGACCAAAAAAGAACCGGGCTCTCTTTTGAGTCCACTATATTGTGAACACCAAAAGGATTGAGGTCACTTTCGGCTGGTTCACTTTAGGTGAACTGGGTTTGGTTCCTTTAAAAGGAACTATATGTGAAAACACCCTAAAAGACCTTTAGAATTTTACAAAAGGTTTGACAGGTTTCCACAAAAATATTGAGCTGTTTAAACAGCTGTTTTCAATAATGATAATAATATTATATATGATGTTTCTTAAGCAGCAAATCAGAATGATTTCTGAAGGATCATGTGACACCGAAGACTAGAGTAATGGCTCCTGAAAAATCAACTTTGCCATTACAGGAATAAATAACACTTTATAATATATTCATATAGAAAATGGTTGTAAAAATTTTAATAATATTTCACACTATTATTGTTTTTACTGTAGTTCTGATCAAACAAATCCAGCTTAGTTGAGCATAAGAGACTACTTTCAAAAACTTAAAAAAAAAAACTACTTTAATTATTCCATTAATTATTCCAAACTTTTGACGAGTAGTGTAGTTGTGAATGAGGTATCTGTGCTGAACCCATTTTTGATGTTACAAACTCAACCAAATATTATTAAAAATACAATTTTGCAACATAGGCTTTAATGAAGCAATGTGAAATACCAGCATAAACTAGTTCCACATGCAGCAACACAACACAACGCAACAACACTACTGAGTAAACCTACACTTTGTGGTTTGGTTTTAGGTTTGTGTAAATTACTATTTTAATGTGATCCCCTCTGAATAGACTTAGTGGCATACTACCAATAACAAAAACTCAACATGATAACCCAGAAATCATTTTATTTTCTGTACAGAGCCACTGTAGCAATGCTGTCAGTGTGAAAGCACAACACAAGTCGGATGCAGCAGTTACGCTGATGCTCCGCTTAACACACTATTCATGCGTGTTGTGTGAAACAGGCCTGTGTTGATCATAACCGGGACAGACTTTTGCTCCTCACTCACACACAAACCATATAAGCAAATCGAAAGAGGTCTTGCACTCCCACAACCTCTGAAACCAACCATAAACCAAATACCACAGTCCGACCAGCTGAGACAACTCTTGAGCAAACGTGTGTGAATGTGTGTTATACATAACATAGCAGTATTTTTACTGGAAACTGGTCAGGCCTAACTAGAACACTGTGAGGTTTGTGAGCTGTACCTGTAACTAACAAAAGTGCAAATATATTGCGAGCTTGAAAGTCTGTGTCTGAGAAAGTAAGGGGCCGTTTACACGACAACATTTTCAGCCAAAAACGGGAAACTTTTTATGCGTTTTGACTGTTCGTTTACACGGCAATGGCATTTTGGGGACTGAAAACGCATATTTTTGAAAACGGGTTTCAAAGTGCAAGTTTTGAAAATGCCACCGTTGTCGCTTCCGTGTAAACACCCAGTATGGGAATCTCTGAAAATGGTGACGTCATGCGCATGTGTAGTATGTGTTAGGTATGTAGACATGTGCAGTACGTGTCAATTTTAAATGCAAGCGCGAACAAAAATACACAACAATGGCGGAGTATATGGTACTTCAGCAAAGTGTGGATTTACTTCACCAATATTACAACCAACAGCGGAGACGCATCATATACATCATATAATCTTCACTTCCCTACAGGTACTGTTTACTAACAAGGTGACAGCGCCAACTACTGGCCTGGCATACGTAATACAGCGTTTTTGGCTGTTTTCGCGGATATGTGTAAACGCGAATCGCTTTGAAAACGTTTCCGTTTTTGACTACACCCTTGTCGTGTAAACGTAGCCTAAGATAAGATAAAGCGTTGAATACCTTTCTCCTTCGCTGAGCTCCTTTGGCACCTGGTACTGCCTCACACACCACTGATATTGCCTCTCTGAAATACAAAACAAACGGTTATAAATGTACACACATGCTGGGACTGTGAGAAGAACATAATCAGATTGTTAGATGAGAGTTTCCATCACACTCCTTTTCATGCATTCCCAAATTTCATATGGCTGAGGGACTATTACATTAGACACATGCTCCAGCCATTACACTTCCTGCCATCTCACACATGCATCAGGCAGACATGCAAACAAAAACACCAAGGCCAGATTTACTAACAGCCTGCGCCAGCACAAACCGTCTTTTGGCGTTAAAATAGTACTGTCAATATTTACTAAAGACGCGCACTGAAGAATTAGCACCGAAAAGGCATGAACAGTTATTTTTGCGCCTGACCTTATTGAATATGCATTTGTAGGAGTTTCCCTTTCAGACGCAAAATTTATGGGAGGAGAGTATTAAAATGAATCACGCAACGCAATTTACTAAAATTTGCGCTCGTCAAATTATTGGTATTTGTGCCAATATTTGACGCTAATTTGAGCGGCTCTTGGTAGATTGTGTTGGTCATTATGGAAATTATCTTGCTGCGTCTGTGTTCTTTAATTTGCGCATTGCAAGTAAATCACCCACAGAAATTTCCACTCCCATTACTGCTTTTTTGGAATTGTGCTCTCACGCTAATTTGCCCTGTTTAGTAAATCTGGCCCCATGACTACTTTTAACAAAAACTATTAAAAACATAAATGTACAAGAGTGAAAAATAGATTTATTATTTATTTTGCAATTAATCTGCAATTATAAATGTATTTATTTTATTTTGCAATTATAAATATTCACTAAAATATAAACAAAAATGCTACAAAATTACGGATCATTATTTCAATCAGTGGTGTAATTGATTCTAAATCTGATTGATTGAATGGTCTGATTTACAGTGGTGTGAAAAGGTGTTGGCCCCCTTCCTGATTTCTTATTTTTTTGCATGTTTGTCACACTTTAATGTTTCAGATCATCAAACAAATTTGAATATTAGTCAAAGATAACACAAGTAAACACAACATGCAGTTTGTAAATGAAGGTTTTTATTATTAAGGGACAACAAAATCCAAAACTACATGGCCCTGTGTGAAGAAGTGTTTGCCCCCCTGTTAAAACTGTGGTTTATCACACCTGAGTTCAATTTCTCTAGCCACACCCAGGCCTGATTACTGCCACACCTGTTCACAATCAAGAAATCTCTTAAATAGGACCTGCCTGACAAAGTGAAGTAGACCAAAAGATCCTCAAAAGCTAGACATCATGCCGAGATCCAAAGAAATTCAGAAACAAATGAGAAAGAAAGTAATTGAGATCTATCAGTCTGGAAAAGGTTATAAAGCCATTTCTAAAGCTTTGGGACTCCAGCGAACCACAGTGAGAGCCATTATTCACAAATGGCAAAAACATGGAACAGTGGAGAACCTTCCCAGGAGTGGCCGGCCGACCAAAATTACCCCAAGAGCACAGCGACGACTCATCCAAGAGGTCACAAAAGACCCCACAACAACATCCAAAGAACTGCAGGCCTCACTTGCCTCAGTTAAGGTCAGTGTTCATGACTCCACCATAAGAAAGAGACTGGGCAAAAATGGGCTGCATGGCAGAGTTCCAAGACGAAAACCGCTGCTAAGCAAAAAGAACATAAAGGCTCGTCTCAGTTTTGCCAGAAAACATCTTGATGATCCCCAAGACGTTTGGGAAAATACTCTGTGGACTGACGAAACAAAAGTTGAACTTTTTGGAAGGTATGTGTCCCATTACGTCTGGCGTAAAAGTAACACTGCAT